CTAATATTCATTTTAAATTGTAATGAAATAAACTCAAGGAAATCTCATTTGACAAACAGCTAAATGATAGACCCTGCAGGGATGACTACTTTGGCTGAGAAGCAGAACAAAATGTTGACTTTACTACTATGCTACAGACATCTAAATGAGGACAAGTGAGAAGATATGATATGCTCTGATTAGTTTTGGTATGAGAGGAAATAAAGCATTATAACCATAAATGTCATGTGAAAGAGATTACTTTATCAATTAGCACCAATACTAATCAGATATGAGTGGGAATTACAGAAGTAAAATATCAATGTTTATTGGGCACAATCTTTGCTAGATGGCTTCCAGTATCTTTAAATTCCCACTCCAAAGAGCTTGACACCTGCTTAGGATACAAGCCTGGCATGGTGGCATTTAAGAAAAACTACTTGCTGGATACTAATCTGGACCTCTGCAAAATACATAAAGGAGCTCTAGTTGTGCAGTCTATGTGGTGATGTGCGGCATCTCCAACAGCAGTGGTTCTGACAAAGAAAGATGACTGGTCTCTTCCCGTTAACAATTACAGTTTCTGAAACCCGATGGAGGGTCCCCATAACTCAAAATTGACTCAACAGCAGTAAGCTGAGTAACTTTAAAGTTATTAATATAATGCCTTCATTCCAGCATTTTCCAGAAAGCCATTTACTATCAAAAAGTCAAAACTCATGTCATCAAATCAACTGAGACTTATGGTGACAGTAAACCAGGACAGAATATGCTCAGCATAGGGCAAGGCTCAGAACAGCTGTTTACTTGTAGTCAATTCAACAGCAGATAACAACTAAAACAACTGTCACACACTAATTCTGGAAAACACTGTGCTGACTTCTCAGGAACCTCTGAATTTTGGTCTTTTATTGGATTCTCTTTACTTGAGTAGTAAAAAGAGTATCTCTTTGCTTGACTAATTTTAATCCGTATTCTTTTGTGTAATACACTGTGGTCACTCCAACACTTTTCAGAGGCATTAAGTCACAGAGAGGAGACTGCCCATCTTTCTCCCACAGGGAGCTGGTGGATTCAAACCATGTGCTTTGGGTTGGCAGTGCAGCTTCTTACCATTAGGTCACCAGAGCTCTTGTGTGTACCACTGAGTTGGGGTTGACTCAGAGGCAGTAAATCCCAAGGGAGGTGACTGCCCATTCTTCCCCTCCCTGAGCAACCAGCCAAGTCAAACTGTACTGCTGACAACTCAATTCCTTACCACTAGAGAGTTATCTTAGAGACCCCCAAACAATGCTGTTTGCGTCAAGAGGGAGGGCAGATGAATGGACTGCTCAGCTGACTTAACTTTCACATAAATCTGACTTTCTTATTGGCTACACTGATGAATGGCAGCCCTAGCAGCTGATAGCCTGTGCAAGGGAAAAGTGAACTCTAGCAGAAGAGCAGCCTAGAACCAGGAAACTAGGGTCCTGAAAGGTACAGAGTTTGGGAGGAATCTCAGAAAGGTAAGAACTGAAGAAACTCTGTAATAACATAATTCTTCAAACTTTGTCTTATCCCTGAGCTATATAGGCTTGGGACACTCCCAACCATCATAGTAAAGGTACTGAGATCTGAAACACCACTCAAGGCTTAGACAAACTCAGAAGTATGAACACGGCATGAAGCCAAAACACCAAATGTTCTGACAATCGATGCCTGAACCAACAACCCCGGAAAGTGAAAGAGAACACATACTCTGTCTGACCTAAAGTAGTCTGAGTAGTTTGCCTACTTGAGAAGAAATGCAATATTCAAAGAGTCCAAAATTATCTTAAGTATACAAAGTTATAGGAAAATTTAACAAATTCTTAGGGAAAAAGAAAATCAATTGATGTTAATCCTGAGATTAACTGAGATAAAAACTTTGAAGTGCCCATTAATTATAGATATAGCTACAAAATAAACACACATGTAACCAACAGAAATAGAGACCTTAAGCAGAGAAAAAGAAATTGCAAAAGAACCAAATGGAAATTTCACAATTAAATGACTCCACATCATCATAAATGATTCAATAAAATTCTCATTGAATGGGCTCAGAAAATTGAAGGAAAGCACATTCTTTGCTAAGGTCTCAATGTGTGCCAAGGATGAAGTGTGGAAAGTATCTTTCATATAGATTTGGAAACAGACATAAGTGGTATTTAAAGCACTTAATTAGAGTGAAGGCAATCAGGCTCTCCTGGCCCCTTCTCCCTTCCACAATTCCCCCCAAAAGAAACACCCAAAAAAAAACCTCACAACAACCCTGAAAATAATTTTGAGAGGTAGAAAGAAAGATGGAGTGTTTATGTAATTAGAGATTTTTTTTAAAGTGTTTAAAGAAAAAGTAGTAGTTAGCTTTGTCAGAGAAAGCAGAGAGGTTTAGAACAAGCAAAGCATAAATAAAAATTCTATTATTTGGCAAAATGGAAACCAGTGTTGACGTGGAAAGAGTAGTTCTGTAGCCATATAACTGCACAGTCACAACATAGTTTAAACCATGAATGCTGCTGTTATGGGCCGTGGAGTCAACTATGGCTCATAGTGACCCTATGCACAGCACATCCTAACTGTGTCCTCTCCTGTTCCATCTCCGACACACTTGTGCCCACTGTCACAGTCACTGTGTCAATCCAGCTTGTTGCAGGCCTTCCCCTCTTATGCTGATCCTCCTCCTTTCCACACACAATCATCCTCCAAGGACTGGACCCTCTTAACAACCAGCCCAAACTATGGGAGATGGAGTGTCACCACCCTTGCCTCTAAGGAGCACCCTACCCTAGTCTTACTTCCTGAAGACAGAACAGTTTTTTTCTCTTGGCAGTCAACAGGACAGTCAGTACTTTTCTCCAACACCACAACTCAAAGACATCAATTATTCTTAAGCCAATAATAGAAGCTTGAAGATTGTCACTAAGTCAAATCAAAAGTTATTTCTAGCAACTCTACACCCTTGCCACTTTTTCAAAAAAATCCCTTTTCCTTCTGTTTCTTCACTATTTCTTTACTATTCTTTTTTTAAAAAAATTTATTAATTTTAATAAACATTTACAGAGATTTTGGGTTTCCATTCATTCTTTTTGCATGTCCCTGGAAGTGATAATGAAAAGTTTAAAGTCACTGAGCCTTATTATGTTAGAGCAAAATGACACTGCAAATGGCATTTAGATCTAAGTAGTCTGTTTTCTAGACACAAGATTTTCCAGTCTATTTATATCAAATATGTAAAAGTTCAAATAACAAAAAAAATCTCTTAGTGTTATGAGAGAATATTAGAATACCTTAGCAGAACTTGTTTCTCACACGTCCCAGTCATCACAGGATGACTTTTCTCTTGTAGCCTTTATACAAATACAAATAGATTTTTTAATTCAGTTGGTTGTCATTCATTTGTTGTTCACTGCCACTGAGTTGGAATCAACTCATAGCTGACCTTCTTGTGGTTTCCAGAGGCTGTAATAGCACAAGAGGAGATTTTGCCCATCTCTTGTGGAGCCAGTAGTGGATTTGAACTGCTTGTTTTTGGATTGGCAGTTAAATTCCTTATGAATTAGGCCACTAGAGTTTCCCGATTCAGTAGGTATTGTGTTTTGACCCATAATTAAATGAAATGTATTCTAATTCAAGTAAATATTCAGAAATAGGTAATTTAAGAACTAATTTACCAAAGATGCTATTTACAGCAAATTCTTTAAATGCATTTTGATGTTCTAGTTTACAAATATTTATATATAATTTTTCAGGGGCACAAGCTAATTCAGGCATAATAGTTTTCAATATTTTGTAGTAATAAACTACAAGTCATTTCATCACAGCCTACTGATGCTGACCACAAGTTTTAATTTTTTAAAAAAGCTATTTTCTAAAAAAGAATGGTCAAGAAAGAAAAAAAAACTCAAATTGGATTTCATGTTAAGAAAAGAGAATGAGAATGAGAATATAAATCTAGAATATGCAAAAGTTATTTATCAAGAAGTACCTTATAGAACATTTATAAATATTTTCATGTAATGCTCTTGCATTACAATAGACACACTATTGGTTTTATTTATCTAAGCTAAACAATTGGTCAATCTGAAGGTTGTCTAAAAGACATTTATCACGTTCCTGCTACCTGTCTGTTAAATAGCACAGGGCCTCCTAATCCTGAATCACTGTGACAATAAAAAATACCTCCTCTACAAACTTTGTAAGTAAATCAGTTTAAAATAAAAATTTTAATAAAAAACCTTCCCCAAGATTCTGAACTCTCCCCCAGGGGTGTCACACAGTACCATCCTCAGCCAAGAACCATGAGGGCTAGTTTTAAAGTACCGCAACCTTCTTCTATCGTAATTAAAATCTCTCTAAAGTACACTTTCATATTTTTGTCTTAATAAATGAAATCTACTTAAGACAATTCTGCCATTTTTTAAAATTATCATTATGAATAGTGACTACTATGCTATATCGTAACATATGTAATGTAAATAGAAACTAAAGTATATGGTATCTTGAGGTATACCAATTGATCCTGGGACATAGCTCTTTTATGGTTTATCATTTTTGCCCAAGGTTATTCCTCCTCTGCAGATTGTCTATTTTAACTACCTCCCTGCATTAGAGAACTTTTATCTGCTAATAGCCATGCTTATCAAATTAAAAGGCTGAAGTGACAGATGAAGGAGTGATGGTAACTTGAGGCCTTCTTAAGAATTAAAGTACAGAGGCTTAGAGATCCCCAACTAAAACTTAACCACTAAATTTTTTATTACAACTTTTTGTTTTTAAACTTTTGAGAATTTCAAAGATCTGACAGCTTACTAAACAATCAATTTTGAGCACTACAGTACGTTGCTGCTTACTAGCCAAACACTCTAACCTGCTGTCATTGAGTCAACGCTGACTCAGAGCTTTCCTCCAGGGCAGGGTAGAACTGTCCACCACAGAACTGTCCAGAGCTGGATTGGTTATACATCTTTCTCCCCAAGAGTGGATGATGAGATAAAAATGATGACCTTCTGGCCAGCAGCCAAGTATTTAACCATTTTACTACCATAACTCCTTATCAGATATGCTAACCAAGCATAGTTGTTACTGACAATATTTTAATAACTCACCTGATTTCTTTTAGTCCTTCTCTCTGGATAACTTGAAGAATTTCTTTATGACTCATGGGTGTATTAGGGTATTTTTCTAAGACCTGAAAAATAAGTATGTAATAATAAATTATCTCTTATTATAAGTTCATATTATAGTTACATACTTCTTAGTCTGTCATAATTATGTTTCAATAATTATATCAGAGAGCTGGACAATGACTAGGGAGGACAGAAGGAGAATTGATGCCTTTGAGCTGTGGTGATGGAGAAAAGTATTGGACCATGGACTGCTAAGAAAACAAAGAGGTTCATCCTAGGGAGGGTTAAACCACGCTGCTCCTTGGAGACAAGGATTCTGAGGCTTCATGTGACATACTTTGGACAAGGTCGTCATGCTTGGAAGAGTGGAGGGACAGCTCAGGAGGGGAAGCCCCTCTATGAGGTGGAATGATTCAGGGATTGGGGTAATTGAGGTGGGTGTGTCGGAGACCGGTGAGACTGGCACAGGACAGAGCAAGGTTTAGGGCTGCTGTACATAGGGTCATTATGAGTCGCAGGCGAGTCGGCGGTACATAACAACAATTATATCCACACCACAAACACATTAAAAAATATTTTTTTAATCCCCTAGATTTTAAGATAAAAGAAACCTAACAATGTAAATAGGTTCTTCTTTCACTAAGAAACAAGTCAAATCCTAAAACAGAAATTGATCTAAAAGGAGTGAGATTAATAATGGACTTTTTATTGTTAATGCATAATGTTAATTTATTTTACTTTCTGTTCTCATCCTCACATTTCATTCTATCTACTACACTAGTTAGGGAGCTCTGGTGGCAGAGTGGTGCTGCCAACTCCAAAGATACCAATCTAAAGATACACAGTTTGAATCTATCTGCTACTCCATGGGAGAAAGATGGGCAACCTCCTCCCACGTAATTTGTTGTTGTTATGTGCTATGCCCTTGTTTTACCCTGAGCCAATCTCACTGCCTCTAACACACTTGCCCCTATTATCCTAGTCTCTGTGTCAAGCCATTTCATCCAGGATCTTCCTCTCCTGCACTTGTCCCTCTACCCTTCCAAGCATGACGTCCCTCTCCAAGGACCACTCTCTCCTCGTCACGTGCCCAAAGTATATGAGATGGAGCTTCAAAATCCTAGCCTCTAAGGTCAAACTTTGTTTCACTCTCTACAAGAGAAACTTACTTGTTTCCTTGGGGGGGCCCATGGTGTTCAAGACTCTTCTCTAGCACCACAATTTGAAGGCACTGATTCTTCTTCTCTCATCCTTAGTCATTGTCCAGCTCTCTGATGCACACCAAGTAACTGGGAGGCCCCATGGCCTGTATTAGACGCACCTTAGTATCTAGACTGACATCTTTGCTCTTCAGTACTCTGGAGAGATCCCTGACAGCAGACTTTCCTAATCTAATTCATCTTTTGATTTCCTGGCTGTTGGTTCCAAGAGTATTAATAGTGGACCTGAGCAAGTTGAAATTGTTAACAATCTCAATCTCCTTTCCATCTATAATGGTGCTGCCAATTGGGCCAGTGGTGAGAATCCTTGTTTACTTGAAAACCCATTAGAGGGTCGGTCAGATATGGGTAAGTTCCAACTCAACAGTACTCAAGAACAACTCTACCACTTAAGATAGAACAGGGTTCAGCTCTGTTGTTCATAGGAACACTACCAATTGTATTCAACTCTACAGCAATTAAGAACAATAACCATAGCAGTTGCTATCAAGCTGACTTCAACTTCTAGCAACGGATCCTACAGGATAGAGAACTTCCCAGTTAGGGGTGAAACCAAGTTTCTCTTTGGAGGTAAGGATTCTGATATACTTCGTCTGATATACTTTGGGTATACTGCAAAGAGGGACGAGTCCTGGGAGAGGGACATCATACTCGGAAGGGGGAAGGGACAGCGCAGGAGAGGAAGATCCTGGATGAGAAGGATTAATACAGTAACTGGAGCAATGGAGTAAGTGAGTCTGTGAGACTGGCTCAGGACAGAGCAGGCTTCACAGCTGTTGTACATAGGGTCACTATGAGTTGCAAGGTGACTTGACAACACATAATAATAATAATAACAATCTTTACAGAAGAACACCACTTTATTTCTTCCAAAGAGTGGCTGGTAGATTTAAGAAGTGACCTGCTGACAAGTAGCCAAGTTCTTACGCACTGGAACTTCCTTAACCTACTACTATAAGCACTATAAAAACAGCCCATCTTTTCTGCAGAGTCTAGTACATAACAGATACTCAACAAATTATTAACCGAAACATATGAACAATGTGGTTATAAAGTTCCACAATGGGTTTCCAACACTGTAAATCTTAGTAGAAGACTACCTCATCTTCCTCCTGAAGCGCCACTGATAAATTCAAACCACTGACTTCTGATATATATTCACACTTACACACTAGACACATCTTTCTCATTCAGAGCAGCTGCTGGAGTCAAACCTTTTCACTAGCAGCCCAAAAGATACATACTTTTTTCCATTTTTCACTCTGCATTTGTTATTGTCTTAGAGTTTACATTGTCTTAGAGTTTACCTTCATGGCACAGTGCATAATGCTATCAGGCTGCTAACCAAAAATGTTAGCCGCCCAAATCCATGAGCCAGTCACTAGACAAGAGAAAGATGGGCACTTTCCTATAAATATTTACAGCCATGAAAATCCAGTGGAAGGTCAATAAGCATCAGAAGTGACTAGAAGGCAGGGAGTCTGGGTTTTTTTCTGCTGTTAATATTTGTTTTACTTATTTATTTTTACAAATAAATAAGCCATCCTCTTTCATTTGTTCCTCACAACAAAGGAAAGATGAGTGGGTTTAATCCTATCTGTTTTAGTAAGAAAACAAAACCTGGTTAAGGTATGTGGTAGTATCATCTAAGCTTAACAGAACTCTGAATTACCACAGTTAAAGAAGAAAGTAATGAATCTTTGTATAAAATGAGCCCAATGAGGGGGGAAGTTTGTTTGTTTGCTATTAAAATTACATCAAAATGATAAAGAACTTGTTTCTGGTCAACAATGAGTTTTTTTCTCACTAGGACAGAAAAGCTATCATGACTGAAGAATTACAACTTGTCTGTTTCAAATGAGATGAGGCAGGACAGATAATAGTGTAAAAGTCAGATCATCATACAAAAATCAGAAAGCTGTCTTAATATTTGAAATACACTTTTTATTCCATTTCAGAAAGTAGTGCACTCAATGCCTTGCCAAATAAAATCACACCCTACCATCATAAACAAGATGTCACTTTGAGAAGGGAGCCTCATCCAAGTCAGTGTCTTTTCAATGGCCTTGTATGCACACCAAGTTTGGATACCGAATAAGGAAGACTAAAGAACTGATGCATTTATGGTTTTGGTGAAGAAGAGTCAACAGGTGGAGAACACAAATCAGAAGCCAGTAGGAAAGAAAAACAAAATAAAAGAAGCCATCATTATTCCATAAGATGGCTTCAATAATGGGCTCAATACAGTGTCTGCAATCATAGATTTGCTGTAGCAACAACAGTGTGGAGGGCACTGGATTGAGCAGTGTTTTTTCTGCAGTACTCTGTTGATTTTAGTCAGAGCCTCCTCAACAGTAACCAATCACAACCACCAAAAGAGGGAGTACCTGGGGGTGCCAACTGTCAAGCACTTGACTACTAGCCAGTAAAAGCTGGCAGGAAAGCCCTCCCAGAGGCACTAGGGAAGACAGGTCTGGGGATCTGCACCTGGAAGGTCACATGGCCTTGAAAGCCCCATGGGCCAGTTCTGTTCTGCACCCATGTGGCTGCCACCAGTCAGGACCGACTGGATGTCAACCAGCAACAGCATCAAAAACAAATGCTTTTTTCTCCCTTGTTAAAAAGAGCAAAAATGTACAACTGCTAGCCAAAAGCAGCTAGCTTCGTGAAAAGCACTGTGGGGCTTGGCATGGGAATAAAAGATGTTCTGCTTGGTTGCTGCTGCAGGCAGAAACAGCAGGCTCTTCAACTGCCAGCAATTAGGGAAAACCATCACAAAAACATTCAGCAGAAAACTTCCCCTCAAATATTCCTATTTGACTTGATTGTTGGAAAGCTGCATGTTGCCAGTGAAATGTGAGCAGACCTCTGTTGCCTACAATTTCTTTCTGGGTCAGTGAGATCTCACTTAAAAAAAAAAAACAACCAAAAAAAACCACCAAACACAACCACTGGAGTTGACATAAGGAAAACCATTTTATGAAAACGCTTGCTGGGAAACCAGCTGACAGAATGACCCACTTGGCAATTAAATCATACTTTAATATTATTAAGTGGTCTGGTGGGCTAGTGAGTCGGGATATGACTGCTACCTAAGACGGCATCTGTTTACATCTACCAGCTGCATCTTAACACACAGAAATGATGGGCAGTTTCCTCTCTTAAGATTTATAGTCTCAGACAACCAATGGGGGCAGGGGTATCAATATGAGTCAGAATTGATTCAATGGTGGTTGAGCACCATCATTAATTAGGAAATCCTGAGCACTAAAATGTGTAAGAGGAATTTAAATGGCATTGCAAATGAGGAATTTGTTTCAAGATTGACTTTGTTAAGCAGTACTATGTACTTTTATAATAAATTGCTTATTTGGAAGGTTATTAATATAATTAGGGGGTTAGAAAAAACATTTGTAATTGAGGCAGAATATGAAAGTGCTTCAAAGTCTAGGCATGAAGGTCAAACAGCCCCATCGTATAGATGTGACACATGTTAGCGGTATTGCTCAGAGTCAATTCAGACTCACAGTCACCCAGCATGACAGTGCAGATTTGGCCCCCCTTAGGATTTCCTCAAAAGTCAAAGTCATTGCCATTGAGTTGGCACTGATGCACAGGTGACCCTCCAGGGTTTTCCGCCATGATAAACTGCACAAGAGGAGACTGACATTCTTTTTCAGAGCCACTGGAGAATCTGAACTGCCCGACAGCAGCACAATTCTCTGAAGACTACCTGGCCCGAGCTCCCTGAGACACATATGGTAGTGAACCAAAGCTCTAAAGCTCAATCCCTCACATGTAAAGTGTGAGACTTTGAGGTAAGAAGACAAACAAAACATTCT